TCTTAATCATGTCACAGAAATCAAGAAAATTTAATGATTAGTTGTTCCTTTATTTTCATGTCCGACATGTCTTATAAATAAGACCAGAAGTTGGGTTGTTCATCTTTTGCCAATGTTTTCTGGGTTGCTAAATAAGGGATAGCATGAGAAATAAGGCGGTCAAACCGAGCCTACTGGTCTTGGCGGGGTATGTACCTGCTTCGACATTTGTCCCAAAAAAGAAAAGGGTGGTCATAAAGAAAAAAAGCCAAGAGACGGTCGGTCCCGAGCCAGTTGACTGTGTTGCTTCTTCCGATGGGCCTAAAAGAGGTCTCCAAAGGGCTTCAAAACTAACCAAAGCAAGGTTAGGGTTGTGGTTGACTCATTGCCCCATTATAGGGAAATGGATGACGACAATTGCCGTTACCTGAGGGCAGACGTGGCAGTTGACCCTTTACTACTGCTCCTAGGGTAAAAGGAAGAAGCCACCATAGCAGGAGAGGAAGGTCATCCCATGACTGAGTCGGAGCTTGAGAGACTCATGGGTTTGTTAGGAATTTACTTTTAACTTTTTTTTTGCAGGCACAATAACTTAATATTCCTTTTCTAACGGAGATGTGTCGATCAAAATAGAGGGCGTTGATGGCGGTGGTCGTCGAGAGTTATGGTCATCTCGGTTCATGTCGTTGCAGTCGAGTCCCATGATGCAAGCATTCCCCCTTTTCCATCGATCGATATGGATGGAAGATCTCAGTAAGATAAGCTCGTGTACCAGAGACTCTATCCTAGGTTGGAGGCATGCCGAGTGCAGAAGATGGTGGAGGTTTTGTGCTAGACAACGAAAAGCTCTGTCGACTTGTCTGCATTAGGATGGATGCTCGCTATGAACGTTTGGAGGTCGCCTTTCAACAACTGTCGGCTACCATCACCCAGTTGTAAGGGGAGGCCAAGTCACTGTTAGGTTCCTTGAACGATGTCCGAGTTGAGATTGGATCCAACCGCGATTCAGTAGCTCTGATTCAATTACATAATGAGGTTGACCGAATGAAGCAAATTAGGCTTGGCGGAGAGATGGTCATCTATAGGTTGCTTGAGAAGGGGTATGC